TCATCCACCCCCCCAACCCCCCCCGGAAGGCCACGCACGGGGGCCCCGAACTCCGTACGTACGACCCGTACAGGGGTATAGGGGCCCGTACGTACAGTCGTACGGGATTTTATACGGCCCGTACACGTACGAGCGTATGCACAGTTGGCAGAGAGAACAAATCGAAGGCATTCGCAAATATTCCAATGTTGAAAACTAATTTAACAGCTATTATTGCACACGGACGTTCACCATCTATCCATGTTCACACCTGGTACCCTTGCTATCCACACGATTCTAATGCTGTGGTGTTATCTATTACGAAAGTTCCACGTGACATCCACGCGACAAGCGACTTGCCTCCTAAACTGAGTATACAAGCAGACAAATGTTGGAGAGAAAACAAAAACAGATACGTTTTGACACTTGCAACAACTTTGGTGAAATTTGGCTTTTTGAAAGAAATCGAATTCGGTTTTATGTTAGTGGGACACACACATACGGATGTTGATGTCAATTTCAGTCATTTTTCTCGCAAACTGAAAATGCACGATGCTTATACCATGCTCGACCTCTTCCAGCTCGTTTCCAAATCCCAAAAAGATCGTCCATCGTGCACATTCATGGATGAAATTGCTGATTGGCGAGGTGTTGTTAAGCCCTTCCTGGTCAAGAAACTGACCGGTCATACTCGTCCACATGCATTCAGGTTTTACATGCTGGATGACAATCTTGTGTTCCAATGGAAGAAGAATTGCACTTCTCCTGAATGGTCTGCTCCAGTTTATTGCTTTAAACGATATGGAAACAAAGCATATGCTGGACCCGAATGATCATTCGAGCCATCACCTGTCTTGCCGTCAGCTGCTCTGCCTTTTAAAGATAAGAATTCAAATTTCGAATAAGGAATTGAAGGTGTGAAGACGTTTGTTGGGTAGTTGGAGAACAAGCGGCACGAGTGGTTGGGAATGAAAGATGAGGTTAGCTTCTCAAAGGAGAGTGCTCTTTCACACTAGAAAACCTTTTTCGAGACAGTTAAGGAAAATTATGGGTCCGACTTTGCAAAAACATCACTCAAGGCTGGCTTCTGGCCCTCACAGGACAGAATTAAGAAGGATGATTCTGATGATATTGATATTGCCTTCCTCTTGAAGAGCAATGAGAATAAGGAGCCATTGTTCGTTGGAACAGCCAATGAGCGTCCAAAGGCAGAGCTCAACCCAGTTGTAGATGTCGAAAAAGGTCAATTCGTTCTCTTGCGTCTTTCCCAAGATGATATCGATGAGGGAGTTCACGTATGGATGGGTAGAGTCATTTCCGATGTAAATAACGATGTGAAGTCGCCAACTTTCAATCATCTTCTTATTGAATATTGAGTGTCACAACCTGTTGCCAAACGTCTTTCTGTGCAATATTTGAACGCATGGAAAAAAACGTGGAAGAAAGACAACACAACATCACAGCAGTGGCAACATGTAGACTGTGTTGTGTAGAGCTGGTCATCAAAGACATTGAGTTTGGAAAATGGAGTGCACATTCCTAAATTGGCTAGAGAGAAGGCCTTGGAATGCCTTTCACTTCCCGATGATGAAGATCATTAGACTTTAAATATGTCTTGAAGAAGAGTCAATCGTATTTCCTTTACACCCACGTAGCATGGCGAACGTGTTCGCGCCCTTTCATGTTCGCGCGAACGTGTTCGTTCGTTCGCGTGAACAGCTCGCGAACATGTTCGGGCGAAGATAATTTTTTTTCGTAAAAAAAAAAAAAAAAAAAAAAAATTCGGTTTTTTATTTTTAACTCATGATTGGCTACGAATTTGAACATGACTCCAAGGCAAAAGTTGCTTGTATTGTTATTTTACATAACATATATATATTTTTAGATTTTTCTAAGAATTTGATTTATTTATTTTTTAATAATTTTTATGTTCGCGTTCGGAGGGTTTTGGGCGCTTGTTTGCGTTCGGGCGAACATGTTCGCGTTCGTCTCCGAACGCGAACATGGTGCTACGTAGCTTTACACATATTAGTACATTATGTAGTTGTCACTGAACTTTCATTTATATATATTTAAACTGTATTTTCATGTGTTGCAGAATGATTCAACCATTTGTGACGACTGGATGACCGCCAAGTAACATGGTATGGGGAAGAAATATATGGCATGATATGGGTCATATTTTCTTCACATCTGAAGTGATCTTTGACAGTGCAGTACTTAGTGTCAGAAGTGTGGATGCCCCACCGGAAGACTGAAACATTATCCTCGAGAATCACTATATATATGTGGTCGCAGGTGTTGTGGAACGAGAACATACCCGCGAGAAGTGCTCGCACCCTTTTCGAAATTGTATTATTCAGCAGTCGAATTCTGCAACAACAATTTCAACGTGATGACCTTGTTTTATGCAGCGGCAACTGTTTGAGGTCAATGCAAAGTATATTTCCTTGTTCATAATGACTATTCTGCAAGTGCAAATGTTTTCAATGCAGATGACATCGATGAACGAAGACGGTAAGAATTCTGAAGTAGGATCATGGAGCAACCGTCGCTCAAAACACTCATGGATGGGCTTGTGGACACAGCCGTCAAATATTTGAGAAGTCTCATGTTGCATGAATATGAAGTAATAGAAACTTATATAGAGTACAAGGACCTCACGTTTGACGGACAAAATGATACCATCCTTGTAATAGATTGAACAACTTATACAAGGACATACTGAAATGTTGTCTTGATCACATTAGTTTATCCCCTAAGTCAATCTAGTTACTAGGTTTTTTTTGCCTACTTTCGGAGAGTCAGTTGTGCTTTGCATTTAATTTTTCTTCTCTTACTCGGTCGATGGCCCTGAGACATCATCTAAGTTTGAATAGCCAGTCCTGCGTGAATGTAGAGTTATTTGGTCATCCGAGTTCAATGGGATTCGAACTGAGGTTTGTGTTTTGACAATTTATGGTTGACATTGCTTTGAAATTGCTTTTAATATTGAACTTTGCACGTGTTTTCATTTAAGGGTGTTGTTGTAGTTCCAAGCAGGAATTTTCTACTCGTGTTTTCGGAGTGTCTGCTGCACTTTGCTTTCAAATTGTTATTTTTCTTCCAAGGTCATATACAAGGTCATTCTGTTCTTTCAAGATTTTTATATTTCAATCATTTCCAAATTTGATGTTCCCTGCCCAAACAAACTTTAAGGTTTACATTGTGCATTGCCAACTTGATGCGACAGTCACGACATTTCACTAGCTTTTACACTTTGTCTAAGTCTCACGTTTTGCAATATGTGTCTATATTGTGTAAGCTTGATATTATACTTATATATTGTGTAAGCTTGATATTAGACTTATATGACTTCTTGGATTTTCTGATAGAATGGATGTATTCATGTTATGAAAGGTTGATATATACAATAGTTGACTCATGAAACTTGTATTGATGCAGATATGCAATTTTCTTTTGAAATATAATGGATGTATTCATGTTTAACTTATGAAAGGTTGAGATATACAATAGTTGACTAATCAAACGTGTATTGATGCAGATATGCAATTTTCTTTTGAATACTTGATTATACAATATTTCTCAATAAGATGTTAAAATCCTCTAGGAAAAAAAATAAAAAAAAATCCTCTGCTTTTGTTGTTAAATTTTCTTCTTTTTTGTCAAATTTGTTAATTTCATTATGTTCACTTTTTACAAAACATTTCATTTTA